TGAGCTGGTACAAGCGGTGCAAGTGTACGCAACGCACACGACGCACTTCTAACCGCAAAGAGAGACCTGAGAGGCACGTACGTTTGGCTCGCGCGAGAGAGAGAGAGAGAGAGAGGGAGAGACAAGTATATATATATATAGAGAGAGAGAGAGAGAGAGAGAGAGAGAGAGAGAGAGAGAGAGAGAGAGAGAGAGAGAGAGAGAGAGAGAGAGAGGAGAGAGAGAGAGAGAGAGAGAGAGAGAGAGAGAGAGAGAGAGAGAGAGAGAGAGAGAGAGAGAGAGAGAGAGAGAGAGAGAGAGAGAGAGAGAGAGAAATAGAGAGATAATGACATACACACATAGAGAGAGAGAGAGAGAGAGAGAGAGAGAGAGAGAGAGAGAGAGAGAAGGAAGGAAATAAATAAATAAACATAACACAGAAAGAGAGGTAGGCAGTTCCGAGAGCGCGGGCTGCAGCGCGTGATCTATTCGACGACGATTTATTCGACGACGATCTACGGAGCTCTACGATCTACGGTGCACGAGACAGCGTATGGGGGCCCACCTAATGCTGATAATGGAAAGAGAAGCTGACCTAGTAGAGAAGTTGGACACTGCGCTCCGCGCTGCTCGATCTGCTTCGGCACGGCAGGGAATGTGCTGGAACCGCGTGGGAGGACCTTCTTGCCAGACGTTCGGCCTCACTTCCAGGCTTGGATTGTGGACCTGGCCCCACCTGGGGGCGAAGGTGGACTCGCGGCGCGGAAGGTGCGCGAGTATGCTTTCAACCGGCAGGCCGCCAAGCAGAATTACCGTTCCTATCTTGAGATGGAGCGCTGGGCGGAGGCGAACGGCGACTTGGACAGGCTCGCTGGAAAGTGTTCTCGAGGACGCCGACGGCGTGCTGCGCCAGCATGGTCAGGACCTACTGAGGTGTGGTGTTGGGGCTGGTCGCGCACTGGTGGCGGGCCCTGTGCTTCCAGATTTCCTGTTGGCGCAATTTGCAGGGGTCAGAACGTCAGAGACTGAGTGGCATGCGAAACCTTTCAGGGGCATCAGGTGAAAATGGGGCACGAGCCACTTGTCCGCGGTACTCGACTTTTCTGTGGACTCTGTAGTTTCGAGGGGGCGTGGGTCGGGGCCCAGAGATTGCGCGACGACGCGGCACGACTTCGCGAGGGCCGCGGCCGCGCGAAGAACACGTCTCGAGTTGGCGCGTCGGTGGTGGGGCATGCGCTGCAGCGGTCGCGAAGCGAAGATATGCCGCGTCGCGACGAAGCGTTGCGCGGCGAATGCGTTCGCCAGCGCGAGTCGCGACCACGTCGTCTACGCTGTCTCTGCCGTGCGCCGCCCGGAGGACGCGCGAATCACGGTGGCCAGGGATGTGGGCATCGCGTGCGTTGTCAGTGCGCGACGAGGGCGGTGCCTTCCAGTGCTGCGCGGGGCGTTTCATGGGCGACTCCGCTGCCGCCGCTAAGTGCAGGGTTGCGTGTGAGCAGCCCCCGTCGGTGAGGGGGCGGGCGCTCTTCTCCGCGCCTGGCGCGCGCGAGATGGCCGCGCGCTATCCCGTCGCGAAGGGGTCGTTCGACCTCGGCATTCGGACGCGCGCCGGCGACTTGACTTGCGCGCGCGCCGCCCCTGACGCGAGCAGCCCGGCGGCGAGGTTGGAGACCTCTGATCGACATCTGGGCGAGGTGCTTGCCGAGTTGGACCGGCGCAGGGTCGCGAATAAAACGGCTGACTGCCCTTGCTGCGCGGTCTGCGGCTTCCAGGGGTTCGCTTCCCGCTACCGTCGAGCCCTCCTCTCTCAGGCGATGTTCGGGCCGCATCAGCCTCCTTGGGGGCGCGCGCTCAGACTTCGGGGCGGCATGGCGAAGACGTCCGCGATTGGTGCTCCGCCGCGCGCTTCGGGCGGGGAGGCGCGGGCAAGTTTTGGCGCGTATGCTCGTCTTTCTATCGCGGGGGGCTTGTCTTCCAGAGCGACGCCGCTGGCGCAGCAGCGTCTGGTCTGGGGGGAGATGCTTTGCGCGACTGCCGTGCGACGCGCGAGCGCTTTGCGCTGGGGGGTCGCGACCCGTCGCCAGCTGAGCGAAGGGGGGGGGAACGGCGGCGGGGGGTCTCTATTGCGCGCGCGAAGTCGCGAACATTTTCGAGCCCGCCCCCCGCTCCCAGCAGCGAGCTCATCGCCCGTCGGCTCCGCCATCGTCGCGCCCTCGCTCGTTCGCCGCGCGCAGCGTCGCGCGCAGGAGCCTGCGGCGTGGTTCGGGAAGGCGGCGCATGAGAATGCGGTGTGCCGGCAGTTCTCGCGGGCCCTCGCGCGCCTCGCCTTCGGGGGGCGCCCGAGGGTCGGGCCAGCCCGCGGGGCTTGGCGTTCAGGAAGCATGCGTTTTACTTATGATGGCTCGACTGGGGGCGGGGGGGGGAGATGGCTGGGGCGATCTGGGGCGCGACTTCCTGGGGGTGTTCCTGATGCCCGACCTCTGCGCGTAGTTTTTGAAAATTCATATGAACGACTCTGAGCTCTGGCCCGAGGCTCCAGCGGTGGCCCTCGCTGGGCAGCGCGAGGACCAGGGGCGCTTCGAGGGTGGGCGTCTCTGCGGCCGCCTCAGTGGGGGAGGCCTGGGGCGCGGCCGCAGGTTTCGCGCCGCGCGCGCATGCTGCGCGCGTCAGACATGCAGTGGAAATGGGGGGTGCGGACAGCTCAGCGCGCCGACCATGTGCGCTGTTGCTAATCCGCGCCCGTCATGCTCATCCGCGTTCGCATGCCGTTTGATGGCCATCGCAGTGCAGCGGCGTATAGGCGCGGGCGGCGCGTCGCTCGCAAGTCCAACTACTCCGTCGCCGCACCGCAAAAGTTTGTTTGCCCAGTCGACGAGTGCGCCGCAGAGTTCGTGGACCTTCCGGCCGTTCAGCAGCGCCTGGCGGCGGCGCGCCGACCGCGGCCGCGGCCGCGCGTCGTCGCGACCGCGGGCGCCGCCAGTGGAGCCGCGGGGCGCGGGCGAGCCCGCGCGCAAGGGGGCCGCCAGCGGCGGCCGCGGCTCAGCGTCTTCGGCGGCAGGTAAAGGGCACGGTGCAGACAGTGGCTCGTGGAAGAAGGGCACCTGGATCGCGGGCGCGCCCGAGCTCGGCGGCGACCTGGTTGACGACCAGACGACGGGGGAGCTTTCCCCCGCGGTGATGAAGCTCGTTTTCAACGTTGTCCTGCGACAGCGACAGCTGGGGGCCATCGGGGCGGAGACCTTCGCGACGTCGTCGGCGGCGCAGGCTGCGGCGAAGGCGTGGTCTCGCACCAAGGCTCGAGCCAAAACTGCGGGCGCGCGCGGGGCGACGCTTCCCGCGGTCGAAGCGGAGAAGTAGATGAAGGGGATTGGCGCGATCTTGGCGGCGCGCCGCGCGGGCGCGTTCGAGGGTCCGGCGGCGGAAGGAGCGGCAGTCGGCATAACCGACCAGCGGCAGCTCGAGGAGCTAGGTGCGCAGCAGTGCACCCTTGCTATACACGAGATGGGCGCGGTTGTCCCGATGTCGAAAATCGCAGATTGTCACGCGGAGAGCAATGTGGAACTCGTGTTGGCGTTCATCAGCCGCCTCGACATGGCGCTGGCGCTGGCGTCGCTCATCGAGATTCGCACCGACTGCGTGCAGGGGGCGGCCCCATGGGCCCCATGGGAACGCTGATCCACGCAGGATTGCATGACCTGGGGGACACGACGGCAAAGTGAGTGGGGCACCCGCCGAAATTACATTGAGACATGAGCAGTTAGCGGGGGGCTTGAAACGAGCTGCCCGCGAGCCCGTCCTCGAGACCCCTACTCCTCCCCTTCTCGAACCTCCGTCCTCTGAGCCTCCTCTCGCTACTTTTCTTCCCCATGGCAGATGTAGGCAAACCGCCTAAGTGTTGTCTCCCATTTCTTCCGCATCCAATCGGCGACTCCATCCTCGCCCCTTTATTGTATCAGAGTTGCCGCTCACGTCTGGTTGTGTTTGGGCCCACGTGGCGGGGGGGAGAGCCCAAAGTCCGCCGTCTCGCGGTCGAAAGTCTTGTGGGTCGGACGCGCGTGCTGATTCGAGCTGTTTCGAATGGGGCTCTGGGGAGCTTCCCAGATCCAAGGAGCCCATTATGCCAGTAGTGATCAGGAGGGGCCGTGGGCAGGTGGTTGGAGGCAGAGTTTTTTTGCACATTGGGGCGGTGCTGACATGAGTGGTGCTGCTCTGTGTCTTGCGGGTGCACCGCGACAGCGGAAGGGCGTCTCCCTCTTGTGAGTCGCGACGGTGCCAGGTCAGGCGTCGCAAACTGACGCTCGGGTGTGGCCCGATCCGAAGGGCTGCCGTCCGATGGGATCCCCCCGCCTGCGTCCGATGAGTTTTGATATGGTTTGAGGATGCTGGTGATGATGATGATGATGTTGATGCTGATGCTGGTGATGATTATCATCGTCATCATCGCATGTGTCATCACCGCCATCGTCATCACAATCACAATCGTTATCATCATAGTCATCATTGTACTCGACATCCTCATCGCCGTTTTCCTCATCACCATCAGCACTGTCATCTTCATGTTTTTCATCATTCCGGATTCGGTCCGCGTTCTTCCTCCTTGCTCTCCAGACCCCTGTCTAGTCGTTGCGTTCCCGACATTGCCCCCCTGGACCTTTCAACGCCTCTTTCCCAGGAAGGGCTATCTATCCCGAGGAGTTGCTTGATGGTCGTGGGTCCCAGAAGCGGATGCCAGAAACGCGGCAAAACAATTGAGCTGTGCAAATCGCCGGAGGCGCTCCAGAAACCGTTTCGCTGTCCAGGAATGTATAATTTGGAGTTCTTCCCTGGCGGAAGGCGGCGGAAGGGCGGCGGAAACCAGCGCATGTGAAACAAGGGCGGTGAAAACCGGCGGAAGTACAAGGTGTGTCCCCAAGATGTTGTGTATATATATATAAATATATATATAATAATATATATATATATATATATATATATACAGATACTATAATATATTATATATAATATGATTCAGGGCTTCAGAGGCGGGCCACCAGTGATTCTTGGTCACCCCCAAAGCGGCTGCCCTTCTCCAAGGTGGCGGCGCATCGCGGGGCGCGATGCGTGAAGTTAGGTGGCCTAGGTCACTGTGCCTCCTCCCGCGTCGTGTTGCCCATTTCCCCCACGTCGGCCTGCGCTCCTGCTCGCCTGCGTGCTTTCTTGAGACCGCGAGTTGCTTGACTGCAGCGGTCCGCCACCGCGGCAAGAAAAGGCGAAACAAGCTTCCGTGTGAGGCAGAGGGGTGAGCAGGAACGAGGGCGAACTTGTGGTATCCCACACCAGGATAGCAGCGCCTTCCAAAGCTTTGAACGTCTTCTGGGAGACTCTTGCGAGGACGCTTGAAAGGATGCCTGGAGAGCGCTTCTAAACAGAAGCTTCGCAGAACATCCCCAAGAGCTTCGAAGGAACTGCGGAAAGGCTTGCCAGCATCGTATTGGGAACGAGTAGGAAGACGCTTCCAGAACGCGGTGCGAGTGCGAGCAAGGCGCTGCGGGGATGCCTGCCCGGGAGCCGAGGAGAGGAAGCTGGCCTATTGTAACCTTTGCTGCCGGCTTCTGACCTGACGCAGTCTTAGCTCTCGGAGAGCTGTCCGGGAATAGGCTGGTGATGTTTGCATGAGCGAAGGCCCCCTCCCCTCCCTTCCCCTTCCTCCCCCCCCTTTTTCCCATCCCACCGCAGTCGGGATGAGGCTCGCGCCCGCGGGGCCACGCGCTCGCAAGAGAGAGTCAAGGCCGAGCACGAGCTCGGCTCGACCCCAGAGGCCGCCCCCTGGTGCGCGGCCGATTCCTGCAGGGCACGGAGGACGGCTCGTCCTTCTTCTCTGCCTCTCTTCCTCTTGTGCTGAGCTTGACTCTTGATTCCACCTCGTTTCTGCCAGAGCACTCCCTGTGCAAGCCCCGCGGCAAGCAGCACGCCCCCGCCCTGGCCAGGAAGGGGGCTCTACCCCGAAGGAAGTTTCCCTTACACCTTCCCGGTTCAGAGCCACCCAGCCGCGAACATCACGGGAGGCAATCGTGTGTTTAGAGCGTGTGTCGCCTCCCCTGTTTCACTCGGTGCGTCTCCGTGCCTTTGCCCTACTGCACATTCCCACCGCCGATTTCCCCGCTCCTCCCCTTTATGTTCCCTTCCCCCATTTGCCTCTGCATTGGCTTGGTCTCTCTCTACCCGAGCTGCCTCGCTTTCCTCACTTATCCCTCCTTGCTCAGCCTTCCACGAAGAATGCACGCATTCGCTTGACAGCCCAGCAGCTAAGACTTAATCCCGTCTGCCACTTACATGTCGTCAAGCCACGTGCGTCCATGCGTTGAAAGGGAGGCAGCTACAAGGAGAGCCGCCACGCAGGGGCATCCAAAGCCAAGGACCCGTTGGACAGGACCCTGTGGCAATTACCTGGAGAGTCACCACGCAAAATCAACAAGGCGACGACATAGCAGCCAGGGGGGGTACTACGCAGGGGAAACCAGGGACGGGACCCTACGGGCGGGATGTCATCGGCGGGACCTTTTTGGCTTCCACCAGGAGAACCACCACGCATGGGCAATCAAGGCTGAGACCCCATGGGCGAGGCCCTGTGGACGGGACCCTGTGTGTGGAGGGGACCCGCTAGGCAACCGCCAGACCGATGGGTGGCACCCGAAGGCGAACCACAGCTGGATTCCACTGCGCGCGGCCCCCACTTGTGACCAGGAGGACCCTACAGCCAATCATGATCAGATCCCGTCACGCAGGTCCAGTTCTTTGAGCATCGAGTAGGAATGCACTGCCTTTCGATGGCTTCCGATTCGACTTCGGATTCCGATGTGGATTCCGATTTCTCAATGAAGGCCTTCTTAGCGTGCCGATTTCCGCCGATTCGCCTCCTTCCGACTTGGCTGCCGATACTTGCCGATCCGATTCAGTTCGACCGCCGATCCGACTTATCGATTCGATTCTGGGCCCTCTTGCTTTCACGGGAACGTGAATACCAGGGCCGCACCCCGAAAACCAGGCCAATGGGCAGGGGAGCCCGTGGCGAGACCCTGTGCAGCCCATGGGCGACGGGCGGGGACCCGGACGGCGGGACCCCGTGCCAGCCCCAGCCACCCCGACGCCCAGGGCAACGGGGACGGGACCCGATGGGCAGGGCCCTGTCCCCTCACGGCCGCGCCCCTCCACCCAGGACGAGGGGCGTCGGACTCGACGCGGGTCACGGCCATGCCCTAACAAACAGGGCAGCGGACGCGGGACCCGGGGCAATTGGCGCTGGGCCCCGTGGCCAGAACCCCGTGCAGGCACGGCCACATCACACCCCACCACCCGTGGGCAGTGGGCGTAGGGCCCCTGCGGGCGAGACCCCGACACAACCATGGCGGGCCCCAGTGGGCAGCGCCGGTTTGGACCCCAGGGTGCATGCCCAAATCTCCATAGCACGCGCACGCAGGGCCACTCGTCGCAAGCACCGGTTGCTCAGGCCACCGCTTTCGCGCCCCTCACCCTGGACCATTCTCCCGTGGGCTTCTGCGAGCCGTCGGGCCAAGCACGGGCTGTCGAAGCCCGTGCTTGGCTGATCCTTCCAGCAGGTGGCGGTCTCCTCCTTGCAGCCCCCCCTCGCGCTTCCCCCCCCGTCGTTCACGCCCTCGCTCCTCGCCTCCACCTGCCCGATCGTGCGATGGGTCTCTCCACACCATCGTCGCCCGACTTACCCGCAGTGCGTTTAATGGAGCATGACGATTAATAAATGACCGGGGGTCGTGTTCACGCGGCGGCGCCTGGGATGACGATTAGAAAAAACCGGCCGCGGGCTGGAAAACTATTTTGTTAATCGTTCTCCTCCAGTCCGAAAATTGTGCAGAAATGGTCCTGGCTGGCCCCCTCTCGGAACGACCACTGCGGATGCGAGCTCGGGGTCCTATATGCCTGTCCGGGGCCCGTCGGCGAGCGGCCTCAGACGGGCGCGGCGGGAGGTGGCGGGCAGGACGCCAGGTGCTGTGCGAGCGAGTCCCCCCTGCCCCTGCCCATCCCCTACCCTCGGGGGTGGACAGACCTCCTACCCTGACACGTCGATCAAGGAATTGGCCGTTTTCGGTTCGCGAGAGGGCGCCGCGGCCGTCATTTTTGCGGGTCCAGGTCCGTCGGTTTCGGTCCCAGGCCGTTTTCACTAAGGGGAGGTCTACTAAAAGGAGGTTTGTCCACCGCCGATACCCCCTCCCGAATTCTTTCCTCTTCGCTGCGTTGTTGTGCTCCCTTGCCCCCGCCGCAGCGGTCGGGTCGCGGCAAGACGCTGCAGCTCCGAGCGTCTTCTAGCATCGTCCGAACGAAAAGGTAGAGACTCACATTTCAATACTCAGGAGGGGAAAAAACACACAGACACAATTAATCGTCGATCCCCCAGAAAAAAATTGAAAATATGGGAATTGGGCGGGGAGTCAAAAACCCAGAAAATATGGGAAAATATGGGGAACAATTTTATTTGTGTGTATTTATTTGTGTGTCCTGGGGCCCCTTCAAATACGAGCTCAAGCTGGCGCTCTCCCTCTTCGCCGGCAGCAGGACTGGCTGGCACAGTGTTTGTCCTACCGACGCCGAATCCAACCCCACGGCCGCGCTCGAGTGTGTGCGTGGCGCGCGGGTCGTCGCCGATCTCCCGGGCCTATCGTGGAGGCCCACGCCAAGAAGCACCCTGCGTGCCTCCAGGGTGCCAGGGGTTTCGTGGGTTTCGATTGTTCTGCGATGGAGGGCGTGACGCTCGCACACCCAGCATCAATGGACGTCTTGGGGTCTCCGGGTTGGGTTTCTTGTGGAAGGTTCCTTGTGGTCGGGCCCCTGCTGTAACATATCCTCGCGCGCCACCGCCGTCGCTGCAGCCAGCACGGCTCCCGAGAGCGCCTGTCGCAGTAGGCAGCCAGCCTGGCATCAGCATCCGGCCGCGGCCCGATGCCCGACGCGGCCACGGACATGCCCGAGAGCGACGGCGAGGAGGACACCGAGGACGACGACGACGACGACGACTGCAGGAGATCTTTTCTCCGGGCAGCCCTCCCGCTTCCCTCTTCCCTTCCAGGGCAACGTTAGGGGCGGGAACGTGCTCAGTGGGTGACGCAGCAACCCCCGACCTGGGGGGGTCCGCTGGCCCAGCCCGCACAGGAGCAGTCGGATCCGCCGCCGATCCAGCGGCGATGTATCGCCGATTCCAGGTCGATGTGTTCGGCCCACCCCCTCCACCACCTGGCATCGCTCGGACGTGTGCGTCTTTTCCTCGGCGAGGACCGTCGAGGAGCATCCTTGACCATTTGCCGAACAAGCCACGCTCGAAGCCGAAAAAAACACAGGGAATGGACGTCCGAGCGATGGCGAGACCACTGAGCTGGTGCCTGAGCAGCCTCGGGGCAGGCGTCGATTCAGGAATTGGCCGCTTTCGGTTCGCCAGAGGGCGTCGCGGCCGTCATTTTTGCGGGCCCAGGTCCGCCGAATTCGGTCCCGGGCCGTTTTCACTAAGGGGAGGTCTACTAAAGGGAGGTTTGTCCACCGCCGATGTTCGGCCCCCCCCTCCACCACTGAGCTGGTGCCTGAGCAGCCTCGGGGCAGGCGTCAATGGGGGGTCACCCGCGGCGATGAGCAGGCGCCCACGCCGGGCGGCCCGGCCGGGCACTCCGACCGAGCGGGCGGGCCGCCTGAGGAGCGCGGAAGGAAGGAAGGAAGGGGGGGCAGGAGGAGGGAGGACGAGGAGGAGGAGCATGGACGAGCGAGGACGTATAAGGGGAGGAGCAGGAGGAGGAGGAGCAGGAGGAGGAGGAGGAGGCGGAGGAGGAGGAGGAGGAGGAGGAGGAGGAGGAGGAGCTCGAGAGGAGGGGGAGGAGGAGGGGGACGAAGAGGCGGCATAATGAGGAGGAAGAGGAGGAGGTCTGAGGGAGGGGGAGGGGGGATGGTGGGTGAGGGGTAGGAGGAGGAGGAAGAGGAGGAGGAGGAGGAGGACCAGTGCAAACCCAAGAGTCATCAACGATGTTGGAATTAACCCTCCCTCCAAGCTCCCTCTTCATAGGGCCCTACAACGGTGCATTTCCATTGAGGGAATTGCCTCGTTGGAAAACAGCCGCTTCAAGACCATGAAGCATGCTAAACCATCGTTCTCGGGATTTCAACGCCGCGGATTCATCTGACTGCTGCGTCTTGACGATCTAGAATCGCGCCAGAACGCCGTTGCTTGCATTTCAAGACAGCGAACCTACCTAC